TCCCTCATGACATTCTGGAAATTTTTGTTCGTTTGAAGGGGTATCGGTTCCCCTTGAATGGGTACCGATTCCCCTTGCCCAGAAATCATATTTTTCAGCCCGAAAATTACTTCATTTTCTCTCAAACACTTCATATATCATCCCCTTTTCATTCTTAACTCTAGTACACATACTTAAACCAATCTATATTCATTTATTTCATCTTAAACCTCAAAATCCTATATTCCATATGAGATTCAAGAATCATACCAAATTTTCAATGTGTTCTAATTCCAATTCTAACACTTCATACTTCTTAATTAGATTGATGACAAGTCAAATTCATCCATAAAACTTCAACCACCATACCATATCAAAATTTCATCTTAAAACTCATATTGCAAATTCCTTCATAATTCCTTTATCTTATTGTTTAAATCTCATATAAGCTTTCCTTAAGCTTATTTAATACCCAAAGAATCAAAACTAAGCTTAAAACTCAAGAATTAACCAACTGAAATTAAACTTACCTATTGTAGCTAAGCCCCACGTGAAGAAGAGAAAGCAAGAAGAAGAAAGCTTCCAGATAGCTCTCTTTCCACGTTTTTCACTCTTATAAAAGGGGGAAGAATATCTTTTAAAGGAAAAGACCATAATACCCTTAATTTCCTTTAATAATTACTAAATAACCTTCGTTATATATTCAAATAATCATTAAATTATTTCATTCTTCTACTTTAGTCATCAAATTCTGAAACTTTATAATTTGATCACTAACCCGGTATTGAGGATGTTACATATTAGGGTATTTATACCCTCACCAAAACGACGTAGTTTTGGAGAGGGGTCTGTGTGTAATTTGATAAGGGTAAAACCCTGTCCGCAATACCTTATAGTTTGTAATCCTTTCATTTTAGTCATTGGAGTTGATTTTTTGGACATTTTAGTTGTCTTCTAATTTTATTTTATTTTTATTTTAGTCCTTACCCGTATTTATATAATATTTAGGATAAATATCCATTTTAGTCCCTTATAATTTTATTAAGTTTTATTTTAATCCTGATTAATTAATTATGGATTAATTATACTGTTAATACTTAGATTTTCCTAATATTTTGAATTATGTCCATTAATTTAGATATTTTACATTTTAATCCTATAGTTTTAAATTTTGTTTGTTTTAGTCATTATTTAATTGCAATTTATTTTTTATTATCTTTTTAATTTCAATATGTTCAAATTATTAATTATTATTTTATTCGTATAAATATATATATTTGATTAAATAAGAATGTTTATTTATTTTTAAATATTAAGAAAGGGCGGTCTTAAAATAACTAGACGTCCTATTCTGGTATTTTAAAAAATAAATAAATATCTTATTTATATATATATATTTCATTTTTATTATTTTTAAGAAAAATTACTATATTCTTCTTAATATTTATTTATTTTTAATATCAAAGAAATGAATTGTCTTGAAGCAACTAGATGTCTTTTTCTAAAATTTTTACATAAATAAATGTCCTATTTACAAAACTCTAAATATATATATATAATACTTTTTCCTTAGAAATATCTAATTGAATCTGGAATAAGAGGATCATAAATTAAATTTATATTAGAATTCTTAAATTCTATTATTAGAGACAATTTATAATCGACAGTGACCAATTTTGGGCGTTGTGGGGGTGTTAATCCTTCCCCAAACGTAACCGACCACGAATCCTTTTTTATTATTAAAAAGAACGAATTTTTGGTTAAACGCAGATCAATTTATCTTTTAACTGATGTTTTCTTAAAAACTCTTTTAAAAGATGATTTTTAGGTATTCGACCTACCTAATCTAAAAGGTCGATGACGACTCCAAACATTTACTTAAAATTTCATTTATTTATCTTATTTTTCCCGCTAAGTAAAATTTTGTGCATGGACGAAAACCGATTACGACAGGCAGCGTAATTCGTTTCCTTCGTTTTATCGGTTTCCGAACATCCATTTTAACTCTCATGTGAATACTACCCTTATACCCCATTGAAACAACAATGGCATCATAGTCAACAAAAGTTTCGATGAAATTCCCAAATTGCTTCGCCACTTGTTCGGAGATGAAACCAGTCGGAAGATAATTCACAATCACCCATAAATTAGCCCAGTGGAGTTCTACCGTCATCGGGTCTTCCCTCGTTCTAAGCCGACGCAACAATAGAATATGTGAACTAAAAATAGGGTAAATTACATGCAATTTGAAGAATTGGGTACCCGATACTTCAGATACCCGAAAGTCCGATTACTCAGTCATGAACACCCCTAACCTTGATACCTTCAAAGGGGGTCTTCCCAACTTGGTTATTCTAGCCCTCAATTGAAATTCCCCTACCTCGATTTACCATCAATTCTTCTTTAAATATAGGGTAAATTGCATGTTTACTCACTAAATTTTACTCTCTTATTTCACTCAGAGTACTTTCAATTTTTCAACTTGCTCACTGAACTTTTTGGTCACTCGACCATTTATTCAGTAACAGAGTGCTTACTTGTCTTATTTTAATAATAAAACATGCCACACGTTTACTCCCTGAACTTTACTCTCTCTCCTATTTCACTCGATGAACTTTTAATTTAGCAACGTCATAACGCCGTTAGAAATTTAACGGTCGAGTGACTAAAATAGTTCAATGTCTAAAGTTCAGTGAGCAAATTAAAAAAAAAATTGAAAATATGATGAGTGAAATAAGAGAGAACAAAATTATGTGAGTAAGCATAAAATTTACCCTTAAAAATATCGTATTGACTTTCCATCATTATTATCCTACGAGAAAAAGTTTTAACGACTTTGAATTCAGCTTTCCATCGATCTGTCTTTTTTTTTTTAAATCATCGTCTCTAAATTTTAATTACCTGATTAAAATATATTTTTTCTTGGAATTTGTTATCTGAATGTGATAGATTTTAATAAAAAATTATATTTTTTTCATAACTCATTATATTCACATGACGAATTTGAATAAAAAATATTTTTTTTGAAATTCATCACCTTCGCATGACGAATTCACCTTTCATTATAGTAAATATTGTAAACCCCAAAATAAACTTGGAATTATCCTATTGGATTAATAAAAAATATTGGGTGTCCCTTACAGTTTATTTCTACGACTGATGTGATCTTCACAATTAAACCATAAACTTAGGTTGGCTCTATGAGTTATATCAACATTAAGGATGCGTTTAGTTCACGGAATGTAAGATTACTTTTGGGAATATGATTATCAGAATGTAACAGTACTCTTGAAATGTTATATTATACTATTTGATTTGCTTAGCAGAAATGTAAGATTACAATGTTTGATTGGAGGAATATAAAATTACTTAGATGTATATTTTATCAAATTATCCTTGTCACACACACACACACATATATATATATATTTCTAACAAGTAAAACTTTAATATTAAATTATAAGCATTTGAATGAAAATTTATTAAAATATTTTAATTATTACACTATCTAAATTTAAAGAAAAATATATTTAACATATAATTAATATAATTAGTATATCAAACTTATAATTTTAAATAATTTTCATAAGTATCATATTTATTTATATAAAATATAATATAATATAAAAATTAATATTATGATCTAGAGTGAACAAATATATTAAATTTTAATGTATAAGATCTATTTTTTAATAATTTAAAATTAAATATTATTTTAAATAATCTCATTTTTACAATAATAATTTTTTCACCTCATAAAATTATAAAATAATTAATATACTAAATATTAAAAATATAAAAATAATTTTAATTACTCAAATTTATTAATATTTTATTAAATTAAACTATTTGTATCTTATTATTATTATTAAGTTTATAATTTTAAAAAAAGCACCAAGAATAAGAATTAAGAATGATTTATATGAAAAAATTATTATTTCAGGAGTATTTACGTCCAAAGTGGTGGGAATTATTCATTACCAGAGAATTTAGAGTAATAACATTTCCACTATTTTAATCCAAAAATACTACTATTGGTAATAAGTTATTACCTTATAATGATCTTTTTTGTGAACCAAAGATAAAAATATAATTTCGAAAAATATCAATCCCCTTGATAATGATTTTTCTGCGAACCAAATATCCCCTAAGGGTCAATCTATAAACCATCATATATGACTAATGATAGGATCCTACACTATATTACTCCCTTTTTATTTTTCTCCACACCATATATCATCACATTGGAAACTTCGACAACGACTTTCTACCTAAATTAAAAGAGATAAATCCTCGAAAATTGTAACAAACATAATTTTTTCATTAATAATTTTGTATTATTAAATTAAATAAATTAATATTTTATCTAATTATTTTCTCATAAGTACGAATGTATAAATGGAATGAATGTAACAAAAAAGTAACATAAAATTCTAAAGCAATACCAAATATCGGAATGGGATGAAATTAGGGTTGTAAACGAATCGAGTCGAACTCTAGTATTGTGGAGTTTGATTCGATTGAAAAACTATGAAATGAAGTTCGAATTGATCAAAAACTCGCGAGCGTAAAAGTTTTAAGTTCGACTCAAACTCGAAATCATGAACTCAAGCTCGTAAAAGCTCGAAAAGATTCGAAATGAAAAAATCTTAAATTTAACTCGATTGATGCCTCAAACTTGAACTTAAACCTTAAATATATGAAAACCTTATACTACATTTAAAAAATCAACACATAAATATTAATATTACTAATAATTTATTTTTTTAAAATAAAATCTTAATATATTATATTTTCGAGCTACTCACTAGTTTTATGAGTCGAATATCAAGTAGCTCGTTAATAACTCGAGTTAAGCTCGAACTTGAGTCAAATCCATTTAAGTAAATTATTTATTAAGCTTTGACCGATTCAATCTCGAGTATGCAATCTATTTCGTCTTATTTTTTGTCCTAGACGAGACTGAAGAAAAGGGTGGTTAAATAACCATGAGTATTTTCTAACCCTACGATCACCCGCAATGTATCCTATAGTCGACTCGTCAATAATTTACAGCTTGATTGAGAAACAAAAGTAGCAGGTCTCTTTCTTCTTCCATGGCTATTCTTCTTCTTCGTTCTCTCATCTGATTTCCTTTTGGTTTCCCTCAATGGATCGAAGTTTACAAGCACTTGTTGCAGCCATTTCTAGTTTCTTTATAGTCTCCGTGATATTAGCTTTGCTCATATTGATCTGTAAATCAACCAAAATAAGCCCTCCTCAAACCCAAACCCGATCCTTAATCCGAACCCGACCCTCCCCCAACCCTCCCGATCTCACAACCTGCGACAGCGCCGCCTTCGACCCCTCCCTCAAACGCCTTGACATGGCTGAACTCGCCGCCGCCACCAAGAACTTCTCCTCCGACCTCATCATCGGCGACGGCAGCTTCGGGTACGTCTACAAAGCCACCCTCTCATACGGTGTCACCGTCGCGATCAAAAAGCTCGATCCGAATGCCTTCCAGGGGTTCCGAGAATTCCGGGCCGAGATGGAAACCCTAGGCAAGCTCCGTCACCAAAACATCGTTAAGATCCTTGGGTTTTGCTCTTCGGGCGTCGATCGGGTATTGATATATGAGTTCATTGAGAGAGGAAGCTTGGACCAATGGCTGTACGATGAGGAAGAAGAAGAGAACTCCGTCGACAGTTTATCGTTATCTTGGGAAACCAGGAAGAACATAGTCAACGGGATTGCTAATGGGCTGGCTTATTTACATGGGCTTGATACGCCCATTATCCATAGAGACATCAAGGCTAGCAATGTCTTACTGGATGCCGATTTTGAGCCCCATATCGCCGATTTCGGGCTCGCTCGGCAAGTCCAAGAGGCCCATTCACACGTATCGACGCAAGTCGCCGGGACAATGGGTTACATGCCGCCGGAGTACCGGGAAGGAAATACCGCAGCAACGGTGATGGTCGATGTCTACAGCTTCGGAATATTAATGATCGAGATCGCCACCCAAAACCGACCCAATTGGCCTGTGAGGTTCGAGGGTAAAGACATGGGGCTGGTGGAATGGGCTAGTAAAATGGTAGCCCAAAATCGAGAAACAGAAATGATATATCGAAAGATCCCAAATAAGGAGGTGATCCAGCAAGATGAGGTGAAGGAGTATTTCAGAATTGCATGTATGTGTACCAATGAGCAAACCAAAATAAGGCCTGCCATGACTCAAGTTGTTGAGCTGTTGAATCAAATTTCCTCCTCAACTACCAACAACAATTAATTGGTCTAGTGAGATAAGGTATTAGATCTCTTAAATAAGATTAATAGTTTGAATCCCGACGATTGCGAATAGAATAAACTAAGTTGGGGATCGCCTTTACCTCTACACTATCTGATCCTTATTAGTCGATCAACAGATCAGATACAAATGGTTATACCAAAAAAATTTCCTTATCAACTTGCAATTGGTAAACTTCCCCCATAACAATGCTATATTATTTTCTCAAGATGTGAAATATTGTAAGTACCTGATTAACATGTAGGCAAATATATTTTTATATATTGTTTTGGGAACAATCTTTGTCCATGTCGATGTTTGTAATTCAACATCTCAGAGAGTGGAAGTGCTTATAAAACAAGGAAACTCATCACCTTAGGAATTTATGTTTAATTCATGATCGTATTTGTTTATAATATTTTTCAGTCATTGATAACGTACACACATCGTGTTGATTTAACTATTCGAATCCATGATCTCTAAGAATAATGATATTCACTTTTCAATGAGATCACTTGATGAGTTATATCACTTTTAAAATAATAAGATGATTCGTTATTTTGTTAATGTTTATCGGAGTTGGACCTTAGATTGAACTCCTAATTATGTATCATTATAAAAACTAAAAAAAAAACATTTTTCAATGAATTTTGGGTAAATTACGCTTTCATTGGTGTGGGAGTGACGCACAGAACCGAGAGTTGGGTGCGAGAATAGGACGAGGTCGATCCTTCTAACCCAGATTACTCTATTCACAAACGTTAGGATTTGAACCATTGACCTTACTTAAGAGATTTATGTCTCATCCCACTAGATCAACCGATTGTTGGTCCTTTGTCTCATGATTTTGATTTTCTATTTATCTTTCTTTATTTTTGAGTTTTAGTGTTTCTTTTAGAAAAGATTAAAGGATGTTATATCCTACAATAGGTTTTGTTTGCTATAGCATCTGCTTTGTGGATTTCAGAACTTGCATATCCTATTATTAACCTAGTCATCATATTTTAATTAAATAAAAAAATAAATTACGTATTTAGTACATAAATCATCAGTTTTGATCCGTTTTAATACTTAAATTTATTATTTTTTTCAAAGTTATACCTAAAGTTTAATTTTTGTTTCATTTTAATACTATTGTTCAAAATTTAACGTTAAGTTTTGAAAGAATTGAAAGTTTAGATGCTTAAACAAACCAAAATTAATAGTTTAATTAATAAACATGTTAAGTTTTTAATAATGAAATACTAAAATGGAAAAAAATAAACATTAAGTTTGATTTTTTTTAAAAAAATTCAAAAGTTAAAGTACTAAAATAGACCAAACCTGATGATAGCTTAGGTATTAAATACGTAATTCATCCTAAAAAGTGACCAAGTATTATAATTTTTTAAATTCAGTAAAAAAAGGCTTAAATATAAAAAATGTATCTAACGTATGCATTTGGTTTTAGTTTAGTGCCTAACATTTATTTCGTTCCATTTTGATGCCTAACGTTTCATTCCGTTATTCATTAGGTGCTCAGGCCGTCAACAACGTTAATTTCCCTGTTAAGTGACATGTGTCATAACCTGATAATTTTAAATTTTTTAAAACTTTAAAAATTATATATATATATATAAAGAAAACACAAATTTTGAAATAAACCCACAACTTTAAAAACCTTCATTTCAACCCCTAAACCCACTCCTTTAGCCGTTAACAAAGCTCCATCCTACCTCCCCTCCCCTCGGTGACCAAAACCCCCATAAAATCGTGACTAATTGATGGTCAGTCGATGACGAATCAACGTTTTATGTTCAGTGAACCTAAGATGAAAATAGCGATCCCACACGATTCTGACGGTTGATCTACCGTCGACCAGTCCTGATTTCATGGCGATTTTATTCACCGAGGGAAGGGGAGGTCGGGTGGAGCTTCGTCGACTGCAAAAGGCAACGATTGACGTAGATTTAGGAGTTGAAATTAAGATTTTCAAAGTTTTGAATTTATTTTAAAATTTATGTTTTCTTTTTAAAAATATATATAATTTTAATTTTTTAATTTTAAATAAAAATTTAAAATTACCAAGTTGTTACACGTGTAACTTAACAACCAAAATTAACGATGTCACTTAACGACCAAAATTAACAGTCCGTCATTACCTGACGCAATTTGAGTTATGGAATAAAACTGAAACGTGTATATTTAAACCCAAAAAAAACACAATTTAAACAAAAGTAATTAATCCTATAAGTTACCTTTATTATTACGTGCATCAAGCTTTCTAACACTTGCGTAATAAAACCAAAATTTTATAATTGATTCTGAGATTGCTATCGTGTACCGAATTTTCTATCAATATATACCAATTATTCTAAAATGTACCAAACTTTCTAACAGACCCTAAATGACGGGCTACAAGTCCTTTTGAAGGGAGGGTTTGGAAAACTTTAAAGCAGCCTACTCTAGAATTTTTCCTACTACGAAAAACATTGAACCCGATACAATACCCGAGGGTTAAACAGAGATTATTTGTAATAATATTTAAAGGAAAAAAGGAAGTAGAACAGAATGTCACAAAGCATTCCCCTTTGCTGCACCATAAGTTTCCAACTTTGATGCTTAAAGACCTAATCCAACGGTGCGGCCATCCCTCCGCCGAAGTCCAGCAGTGTACTGCTTCTCCAAATCCAGCTGGAGTTCCCGCTGCTTCTCTGCATCTTGATTGTCGGCTTTATGCTCCGCCTTCACATCCCCTTTCACACCCTACAATTGGCCATAGGTACCAAGGCAACCTCAGACTTTAAATCTGTGTTAGTAATGTGAAGAAACCATAATCGAGAGAATGCGTCATATCACATGCAATAGTTTGTTAATACATAGTTCAAATGACCGACTCATAAGGCAAATAAAGTTGCTCAAGAAAAACAACTAATGGTATGGAGATGAAAAAGGGATTTTACCATGAGTTTATTGAACTTCTCTTGTCGCTCACGATCACCAAATAGTGCAGTATCCCAGCGATGACCTGGCTGCCATCAACCAAACATATAGATACAAGTAGGCAATTTAGGTTAAATGAAATAAATTCACAAACTCTTGAAAATTTAGCTAATTCAGCAGAAATACCTCTTCTGCAGGAGTGCTTTTCTTTCCCCCCCACAGCAATTTCTTCTTCTGCTCTGTAGTCATATTACTCTGGCCTGCCCCAATGAGGTTCCTATTAACTGCATTGATAATCATCATCAGATACCATGTGAAAGCAATAGGGGGAAATAAGCTTTTCATCGAAGCCCACTTGCCAGCCCTTAATGTTCCAATAGTCAGAACACAATGACTTAAGGCTAGTTAAGCCTTTGTTGTTACGGTTGAAAAGTGAATTTCGAAATATTGGGTTGAAAAGTATTTTTCGAAAAGCACCTAGCAGCCAGCTTCTTGATTTGGTTCCACAAGCACTTTAAAAAATGTTTTAGATAGCAAAAGTCCTTTGTTTGACATTGCTTTCTTCTGTCGAAAAAAAGTTTTTGGACAGAAAAAGATAGCCAAACATGAGCTTAGCCAATGAATACCTAATTCAGCAGCTTTCATTGCAGCAAATTTTGCAGCATTCACGTCATTGGTGATGTCAACAACACTGCTATGGACCGGTCCAGTGGTAACTCTTTCAACAGTCTCCTCAGTTTGCTCCAAACTTAACCTCTTTTCATCACCTATAGTAAAAGAAGACAGAGAAACTAATCACATAGTAATAAAACAGTGGTAGAATAACAGATAATGGAAACAGAAATGTATTTAACGGCTTCTAAAATTTAAATCAACAATAAGAAGAAAGTCACAAAATAATTACCATCCTTATCATAATCAGAGCTCTTACCCAACCTAAAGTGTTTCGACTTCTTTTCCGGAGACTCCTGATTTTTACTGTCAAACATAGACTTGTCTTCAAACTGTTCCTTCCCTACTCTACCAAACCTATCCTTCTTTACCACATTAACTTCCCCTTCATCATAGTTAACTCTCTCCTTTTTGAAAGGCTTCGGGCCATCTAAATCCTCCAGCCCACTCCTGTAACCTTCTTTAGGGTGACGTCTATCAGTGTCCCTCTCCCACCCAGAAGATGAGTCATTCCGGTGGCCCCTCGATTCTTCAAAAGATTTGTAATTTCCCTTTTTATCTCTCGAGCTTCTATGATAGTCTACTTTTTCATCTCGACCACCTCTTTCGCACCTTCGATCTCTATCAGTCTCTTCAGAGATATAGTTGCCATGTTTCCTAACAAAGCCAACCCTTTCAAAAGATGAATCCTTGTCCTTATATTTTGGACACTCTAGAAAAGGTGATTCTTTCTCGTTACCCCTGCTTCTATGTCCAGCACCATCATATCTATCACGAGAATATTTGTCAGCATTTTGTGAATAGTCTTTTGACCTACTAAGGCCACTTACATGTCTTGGATGATCAAAATGACCGCTAATTCTTGATTCTCGGTCAGAACGAGAGGAAAATCTATCATACTTGCTATCTTCATCTCCATGCTTGTCATGCCTAACATAATCATCGTGTTTGGGATAACAATGAGAGCTCCTGGAAGACGGTCGATCAGAATATCTATAAGAATCACCATTTCTACTATATTGATTCCTAGTAGAATCCCTATCTAGTTCTCTCCCATCTCTTCCTGGTCGAGAATCAGCACCTTTTTCCAAATCATCCCTATAAACCATGGGACTAACACTGCGGTCACGCTGAGGAGAACTTCCTGTAAACATCACAATAAGAAATAGAATCATATAAATATTTTGTGTTGAAATGAATCAAACTTTCAAAGTCCAGGCTTGGAAGAGAAGAGAAACCTTATAAATAGTGAAATTAATAGTCATAACTCATAAGAGAAATTGCTTAAAAGAAAAAAGATATTTGAGCTCTTAAAATTGAATCTTAATGTGTTAAATATTGATTAGGAAGTCCAACAGTAAGTCAAGCTCTGTATACCATAAATTAGTCAAGACTTGCAAAGTGGAAAAAGGCTCTAATTTTGTATTTCTAAATATTATTACTTGCATGCAAAATCCATCAAAACAAAACTTCTTCATATATCTAAAATTTCAAGGTTTGTATCATCATACCTGAATATATTAACCAAAACATTAAGTGTAAGAACTAAAGATTTGCTTATCCCAAATTCTGATTCAAGCAATACACAACCAGCACTTCTGAAAGACTATTCTCTATTTAACCATAAGGAATCATGTCAAATCAACTGCTTCATGCAAACATGACTAGACAGAAGAGTGATAATTTGACAACAGAAGGGTCAACTCAAATAAGAATTCACCGCATATTTTTTACCATGTGACACAATGAAAAGGAAGAGAAGCTTTAGAAAACAAAGTGGTCAAGAAAGTCGAGATAAATTTCCTAGCAGATTAGGAAGTGCAGTTTTAATTTGTTTCAACTAAATTATGTCATTATTGTAGACACAATGAATACTGTTACATACTAATCTTATGCTCTGAGGAGGTGTATTATAGCATTAAGGAGAGTATTGGGTAATTCTTTTTCTCTATGTTACTTAGGGGCAAGTGTCGGACATGGATATGTGTCAAGAATAGGTATTGGGTACTTCAAGAAAAACGAAGAGCCAAAGCAACAAGGTTTTCCCAACCAAGTCTTAGTTTATGCTTGAGTGAGGAGAATTCGGATAACTCTTCTTCTTAGGCTTTCAATTAGAACCATTCACTCCCTTTAGACACTAGAATAGATATCAAACCTAAACCAGAATCCAAAGAAAGCATCCTTCAAGCTTGAGCCTAACCTTGAATCATTTTCCATGTCTAGTTCATAGTCCAGACCAAAAGGTAGATTTACTACATTTTCCTTTCTTTCTCTTTCTCCGCAATCTTATAACTGTCCTCAAAACTGAGTTTTCCTTTCTAAACCAATCAAAAGCCCTAAATAGTTTTAGCTAAATGCATTTTCCTTCAATTTATGAAAGAATACTATTTTGTTGAGAGTGCAGATTTATGAATTCATCGAAAAATATGTTCAAGTTCCCTAAAGAACCAACAAGAGCTTAAGACAAAAATTAACAAACGATCGAACCTTCACATGAAGATAACCTGCTAACTGGAGTGCGACACCTATATTGTCGGCTAGAAGCATCATTAGAAGGCTTACGAAACGCAGCTTTTGCATCAGAACTATCAGGCGGTGAAGTCTTTAAATTTGGGTCCATGAAGTCGACTACCTGTAATAATACATATTTTTGCATTATGTCAACATAACAAAGCACTAAAGGAACAACATGGGTTCTAGGGAAAAAATGACGTTATTCAGGGGGAAATTGCGGATTTTTCTTCGTTCTTTTAACTTTTTGGGCCTTTTACAAAATCAAAACCTAGTTGAATTCATTACAATGTTCGATTAATTATAAATTAGGGAAAAAATCAACTGAAATTTGGGATGAGAGATTTTTTCCTAAAAATTAAGTCCGACCAGAGAATCGGAAACCCCGCATAAAAATTAAACAAACGCTAAAAAAACCTAATCACGTTCAAAGTGAAACCCAACAGCAAGCCAATAAAGAAATTGAATTCTATAGTTAGATTAAAGTATTACCTTAGAATTAATTGTTGAAGGCTTGGAAACGTTTAATATCCTGTGCAATGCAAAATCGAGATGGAGATCTGCATGGAGGAGACAAATAACAAAGCCGGAGCTCAGAGAATCAGTTATTTAGTGACGGCTTACAATCTTTCGAGATAAGGAAGAAACACAAAAGAAAATGAAAGGAGGAGATGAGAGAAAGCCGAAGGAGATGGAATATATACTCTTTATTATTCGTTAACCCTGCCTCACAAATAAATTTGACTCTACTAAGCACATTGTGCTAACCTAAACATGAATCAATTTTTATTTTGAATTACATAACGGTATCTGATTTATTAATCGATTTATCTAAATCAAGTTTTGAATAGACCCACTATAGTGCGACCCTCCTTACTTAGTTTGCTCTATACACAAACACCAAGAATCGAACTCCTGACCTTACTTAATGAATCTAATGTTTTATCCTACTAGACAACTGCTTGTTTGAATCAATCTTTTTTTAATTAAGCTAAATTGATTTTTAAAATAGTATATATTTTAAATATTATCTATCACTTTCTCAATCATTCACATATGTTACTGTTGTTGTGTAACACCCCAAAGTCTGGGTTTACCCGAGAGACTTGTAGACCCCATAAATTTCACAATCTAAGTCGTTGGGCTTAATTGGGTCTGTATCTTGCCCAATTAGTTATCAAAAGGAGATTTCTTTTTAGTAAAAAGGTGAAAAGGATCAAAAGTGTAATACCTCAAATTTTGGTTAGTGACCAAAACGTAAATTTTGAAAGTTTAGTGACCAAAACATAAATTTTGAATGTTTAGTTACCAAAGTAGAAAGTTGTAAAAGTTCAAGGATCAAAAGGGTAATGTTTATACCCGTGAACCCTAGGATGAAAATCAAAATCTCACGCGATTCCTACGACCAATTGATTGTCGATTGTATACGATTTCATAGGGGTTTCAATCATCGAGGGGAGGGAGGTCGGATAGAGCTTCGTCGACAGCAAAGGGATGGTCAGCGTGATTTTAGGGGTTGAAATGAAGGTTTTCAAAGTTTTGTGTTTATTTCAAAATTTGTGTTTTCTTTATATATATATAATTTTATTTTTTATTTTAAATAAAAAAATTAAAATTATCAGGTTGTGACATGTCACTTAATGACCAAACTTAACGGTCCGTCATGGCCTGACCCAATTTGAGTTACGAAATGAAACATTAGGCACCAAACTGAAACGAAATAAATGTTAGACACTGAACTGAAAAAATGACATACGTTTGGGAATTAGACAAAAATGTCAGTTTTTAAGGGAATTAGACTTGAGGTACCCAAATTCTTCTATATATCCTCAAGTAAGATTTCAAGCGAAAACAATAAGTAATATCATAATAGTAAAAGCAAAAATAGCTAGGTTTACATAAAACTAACATTGTTTGACGCTCGAAAACAATAAGAGCACCCGAGTTCTTTTAGCATAAATACGACAGTCAGTAGATCCAAGTCAGTGTCACGGCACTACAGTAGCCGATTGGGCGCCAGATACCCCAAGACTTAACGGAGTAAGTCGGTGGGTGTATGTTCCGATGCAGAATTTTGGATCTCACCCAGAAGTACATGATGGTGCTTCAGAATTGCTAGAGGGATGCGTAAGCTCCGAAATGTAGAATCCATCAGCTGCACCATGATGATAGTCACATATTAGCAGTCTAGTAGTTGTATACTCAGACTTGTGTCACTAGTCATTTCATTTAGTGAATGCATATAGTATAGTACATTTTTTAGTGAGGCAATGAGCTCGTAAGCTCAGCGTTCAGAATGTGTTTCCGTGTGAAGGTTCTTAGGAAGCAGATCGTGGAGAACTATGGTCATCAGATATCCCAGTGCAGCAGATTGAGATTTCCAGAGACCTTTCATAGTACGTCTTGAGTCATCGTTAGAGGGCATGTATTGTTATGGACATTGTTATGTATTCAGTCGTAACTCTTTTGAAAATCAGTATTTTGTATTATTTTACGGAGGTATTTTGGGAGCTCCCCATTATTTGCCAACACAATTTATTATTATGTTTTTATATTACTTTATGAATGTCTAAATTTCAGATATTTACAAGTAATTTTAAAAGAAAATTTGGGTCACTATTTCGGTAGTCCCGTGTAATGTTGTAATCTATGGATCTTCGGGCCTAACTGGATTAGGGATTTACATTTTCTATTTGAATTCCAAGTAGCTCGTTTTGGGCCGTTAAGAACTCGAGTCGAGTGTTTATCGAGATTTAATCAAATCGATCTCAAATAACTTGCTATTTGTCTCATCTTATTTACGGCCTTTATTCATAGTCTCTTTCAATGGACCGTATATATAATCAACAAATCTCTCTCAAAAACTCTCCATTATTATTATTTTTTTGAAAAGGGATTTTGTATGATTAAAAGGTAAAATCATATAAAACAAACATTGACAGAACCTCATTAAAAACCATCTCTAAACCTAGATGGAAGAAAAAAAGTCTACCTGATCAATGGAAATAACAATTAAACCTACCAGCATCAAAACAACAAGTACTTAGCTACGGGGATGTCTAAGGTACAATAGAGCTAATATACGGCTAAGGAAATTTGCTATCGAAAATGTTAATGTTTTTTAATATTTTCGGTAAAACGCTACCTAAAACATTATTTTTTCTACCAGAAATGTTAATATTAGACACTACCTAAAATATTTTCTTAAGGCTTTATTTTGTTAAAAATTGCTTACGAAGGCTGAGAGCGCATAACGTGAGATTAGTTTTATGAAAAGTAATATTGGTTCAAGGGGATAATTTTGGTCTTATAGTTATCTTAAATCAATAATAATGTCTTCTATTTTAATTGTTTGAATTTAGTTTTTAAATTTTAAGTTTTGACGTTGGATGTCGACCTCCGATTGTCTTTTTTTGTTTCCTTTTTAGTTTTTTAATAAGAACAATTTTGTCTTTATGACACGTTTATCTCTGTTTTTATGGCACGTTTTTATATGTCTTTTGATAGTTCTCGGTCATTTAGCCGTTGTTTTCGTTTATCTTTTTTCTCAGGATTGGATTTAACATCGTCACAACTGATTAAGATGACGCTTATTTGTTATCATGTTGATTATATACTTTGGACTATCGGATTGATTTGGATACACGTTTTACGTTCATAGATAATTTTTTCACGTCGCCCGACTCTGATTTGTAATTTGTCAGTGATCTTTTAGTAGTTTCATCCCCTTTTGTGGTTAGTTTGCCGATGCAATCAGATTTGTTCGTATCTTTATTTTGTTCGAGTTTTTTCGATTAGATTTTTTAAAATTTCCTTTTTTGATTTTTGTATGATCTAGATGACTAGTTTTTGTGTCAATGATTATAAAAATATACATATATCTTAATTATATTTTAATTTACAATTATGCTTATAAATTTACGATTATACTTGTCTCTAATGGTTTCCTATTATAGTTGGTCCTGTTGTAAGCTCGTGAACTTGTAGGTATTCCTCCTTCCTCCATGAACAAAGTAATCTATAGATTTAGTTCGTATCCAATAAATAATCTCATATATATATATTCTTAAATTTTAGACATGATTAAACGATATTAAACTGCTTATCACTTGGACCAACCTTTCGATTTGAATTTGCGAGTGGAACAAATTAAACTGAGCTATAATAGTTTATTTGATTTTTTTATTTTTTATTAAGCTAAGGTGATTACAAAGTAGTATATGTTCTAAATACTCTAAATCATTTTACCACTGAATGCTCATCACTCTACTGTAGTAACTGGTGCTTGAACCCGTGAGCGCTAGGAACAACAATAATTCTTTTAACCACTGAAATAAATCGGTTCGTGTTACTCAATCTTAATTAGATAATGATATATCTTAAACAATAAAAGTTGGAATCATGATATGAACCCCTCCCCCTCTAGTATCACCAACTCCAATACAACTCACACGACAAATAAGACAACAAACAGCCGCATAAGCTTAAAACCAAATCAACGAACATTGGGATTTGATTATTCCTTAACTAGGCTGGCGTAAGATTTTGTTGAAAATGATTCAAAAGAAAGTAACCATTTATAGATTCCATGGGGGGTAAATGACATCATATTTTTCCATTTTTACTAATCATTGTCGGGACAAGTCCAGATGGAAGCCGATAGCAAACGCCTGGATTTCCAGCCCAAGACGAGCCTGTTGTTGCCCAATTCCTCCGCCCTGTACCCGTTATTGAATAAGCCTAGCAGCAGTTTTGCTTGGCAATTATTGGCGAAGCTGATGTTCACGCTCTTGAATCCCATTGTTGATAGCCATTTTTACCAAGAACGACTCTCTTCCTCTCCCCCGCCTCGGTACATCCTTGCCAATGATCCGGCTATCCGTGGCCCTAGGAATACTCTTTCGACTAACGCTCGAGCGCGGTTTTGCATAGGGAATCCGGCTTCGAGCGAGTCGTAGACGGCCGAGTAATGGTGTAACGAGTCCATGAACCGTCCCACGAACCCTCCGTCTCCAATGGGTCCGATTTCTTCTTCCACCAGAGTCACTAGTCGTGGGCTCAAAGTCTTGGCACCGGATAGAAACGAAGCGACCGAGTCGGGTGCTCGGTGGCTGAAGTGAGGCGAGTGCAACATGCAATTGATTATAAACGCCTCTCCTCTAACTATCTTCAAACCTGCTGGCCTAAACGTTTCGTCGGAGTCGAGCCTACATTGATGGAATGAAAAGGGCTGTCCAATTGAGGCTGCAAAGGCTACTAATCTTCGACTGGTTTCTAGAATGGTCCCGATCGATCGCCGTCCGCTGCCAGATCTCGATAGAGCCGTGATCCTAAGATGTGGGTTTGGTGGTCCGTCTTTCCTGGAAACCAAGGCTTGCATCAAGGACGCCCATTGGATCCCTTCCATGACATCGTAGTCCACTATGTGGATCCTGCTATCATTGGAAACAGCCTCCAGGATGGCTTGATTAGCCGTGAAGTGACCAAATTTGACAAACGGGGACATGTCTTGCAGCAGCTGAAAAGCCGCAAGCATGTCGGCGTGATGGTGGTCGTCACGGTGGTGGTACAGTCGATTGGTTATTAAATGCTTCCCGTGGCCGCGGCCGGAGGCGGAGCCTTCAAGTAAACCTTGTAAGGCCTCGTTGAAATAGGCCGCTACCCTTCCCATGTTGGTTCCATCACTGGGGGAAACCAACTCCTTGAGCCGAACCAATATCACTAGAGCCAATTCACGGCTCTTGTTAGCCCCAGCAGCCGCCATCAGCAGATGAACCAACCTCAACCCCTTGGAATCCTCACCCTGGGTTTCTTCATCCACAACCATGGTATCAGTTGAGACCGAGTTACAGGTTTCATGGCCTACTCGAGCCAACTCAAACTCGGTCCCATCATCCATCATCGACTCAATGAGGTCTTGAAACTCATGTCTCTCGCTGGATAATGAGTTCCAATCAACGACAGGAGATCCCCCGTGGTTCCAGGCACAGGCAGGACCTTCGTCTGTGGTGATCGTAGTGGTACTGCTGCTGTATAAATCATCCTCGAAGGCGTCGTCAATGACCATTGCCATGGCTGGTTATTAGATTAAGGACTTTGGATGCGTCAGATTTATATGAAGAAAAGAGCTGGAACAAGAGACAGTAAGGGTAGGAAGTTAATTGAGTGACTAAAGATTTAATCAAGGGATCATCGACTAAGATGGGATAGCTTATCTCCATGTTGGTTGGTTTTATATACACCCCATCTCTGGGACCTAAATCACTCTCTATCTAGGGATGTACCAAATACACGTGGCAAGTAAATTTTAAATTCTTATATATTTTATATTTTTATTAATAATTTTTTTTAAAAAAAATTCGTCCCGCCCTGGTCTCTATCATACTTGTATCAAACCTTTTGCCCTCCTATCTATGATTAGTCTTAATCTAATCTCCCCTACAAATCAACATCAGTCATAATTTTTTTTCATGTTATCCACTTAGGTATACTAATCACCTAATACAAGGAAAACCCACGGTTTAACTTTTTATAAATGATCACATTAGTATATTAGTTTGGGTTAATAATTTACAAGGATGAAAGTCGACATTCATTAACTTAATTGTTGATTGTATCCAAAATGGAGGGGGAGATAATCATCTTCTTGTTAATTTGTTTATTAACTTCTACCCACCACATGCTTTGTTTCTATGATCCTACACCCTCGTTTGCAGCATTGAAGGTTAACAGTTCGGTGTCATATTAGATTATATATAGACATGAGATATATAATGGTGTTCGGATTCACTCACGCAATGTAAATTTTATTATTTTTACACAAATTTAAAATCATTGGATAAGATGAAATAAACGGTTGAGATTTATTCATTATTTTTTTAGTAAATATCTCTACATTTCTAACTATTAATCTAGTAGTTTATTTTATCAAATTCAATGGTCTGAAAAAATTTACTAATCTATCCGCCATTGTAGATACTCGAATGAAAATATTTCAAGTTGAGCTCACAGTTTACGTGCATTATAAATTCAAGTTTTAATTTATCACGGGCGAATAGGGATGGCAACGGGCCGAGTTCGGGCCGGGTATTGGTCCTCTGTCCCCGTCCCCGTTTAAAAAATATGTACTCATCCCAACTTAAAAAACCGCGAGGATTTAAACGGGGATCCCATCGGGTAATCGAGAAAAACCGTGGGGAAACGGGTATCCCGTTTAGCATAAACAGTTATTTAAACGGGTATCGGGTCGGGTATATATATTTAAATTAAATATATAAATATTAAATGTATTTTTTAATTTAAATTAAATTTATTAATATTATATATATATATATATATAATAATTATTTTTAATATTTATCGAGGCGGGAATTACTAAACCCATCCCCGTCCCCGTCTCTGTTTAACATAAATAATTTTTTCCGTCCCCGTTTAATTCAATTTTCTCCGTCAAATTCGAATTTTTTTACCATCCCTATCGGCGAACGAATCACTTTATTCCATATAACCGTACCCTCAAAAGTTAAAAGGAAGGACCACTCGCCACAGCCCACACTCTCACTTTGACCCGCCTCTCTCAATTATTTCTCTAATAATTTTTATGTTCCTAATAAGTATTTTTTTTAAATATCTATTTGATATATATTTCCCACACAGATTTAAAACTGTTGGATGAGTGAAAATATATAATTGAGATTAATTCCTTGTTTTTTCCAGTAAATATCTTCATATTTTTTACTTTTGATCTCAGTCATCTGTTTTCATTCATCAAATATCCTAAATCTATATAAAACTAAAATAATTTTATATTATGTAAGAGGATCCTACCCCATACTTCAATAGATATATTTTAAGTATAATTTTTGAAAATATTTTCAAAAATTATATATTTAAACAATCTTTTAAGTTCAGAAAAATACACAATTTGGGCCGTCTTTCTTTGCATGTATAACTTGGATGGATCACGTAAGAGAGTCCCCCCCCCCACTTTTAGAGATGTTATATCTCTAGTAATTATCGATCGAGAGTTTTAAGAAAAAAAAGAATTTCTGCTCGTTGAAGTTGTCAAAAGAATCCTTCGTATCTGAGAATTAGAGGGTTATAATCTCCAACTAAACTACAATTCGTAGGTAAAATATATAGACATGACCTTTAACGGGTTCGTACAATCTACTAAGATGAAATCTAAGATGTGACCACGAGATATATCTACCCAAATGATTTACTTGTAAACATAATAAGTTTACGCTTTGACATTCTTAATTAGAATCATTATAAATTCCTTTCGACCACAACTGAGAAAGAAGTTGGCATCTATAGTTTCGATAGCAATCCCTATCTTCTTATGACTTTCTCTATCGCATAGAAATTTTTTATTTCCATCCAAATCAAAAGAAGAGATAAACTTTATTTCTACAATATAATAATATATATATATTTAAATCAAATATCTCGAATTCGTAGTTATATTTTGTTGATTTGAATATAATTTAGATTGGGAATGTGTTAATGAGCAGAATTACCACTAAACCATTTGATAAAAAAAAATAATGTCTAAGACTAGTCTCTAATATTTAAATGAAAGATGAAAAAACATATTAATCTCATTTTTTTAAATATTATTACTATATGATTAATGAACATTTATAAACTACCGATAACATGTTGGTCTAGTGAGATAAAGCACTAGATTATTTAAGTAAAGTCAGAGACTTGAATCCTAGGGTTCGCGTATGGAGCAAATTGGGTTGGGAGGTTCACTCCCATAATGAGCCTCTGCAACACCCGATCTGGATTAGTCGATCAATAGATCGGATACCAGTGATTAATTCAAAAAAATAAATATTTGTTAGAATTAATCAAATTCCTTTACATCATTTATGGTTATTTTCTTCTTTCAATTTTCATCATTATTATTAATGTTAATGGAATGAATGAGTTTATTTTTTTTTTTGCATTTCGTCTTTTCGTCAAGCTACTCATCTTTGTTCTATAATATTTCCTTAAGTCATGGGTTCTATATTCACTAGGAACACTCTTATGCCTTCCTTAAAATTCTCCTTCCCTCTTCCCTCTGGGTAGGATTAAGATTAGATTTAGAATTTATAAAAAAAAATTGTGTACATTTAAGAAGGTGAGACCTAAACAAAACATTGAAATTTAATTGTTTAAATATTTGTCAATCAAATTTGTATACAGAGACAAACGAGAGATTTTATGTTAGGGGCGAACTTCTAACATTTAAAGAAATGACGAATTTAAAAAATTTCAGAGCACAAAAACAGTTTTTTAATAGAAAATGTTTAGAAAAATTTAAAATATATAGTAATTTTAAATTTTTAGGGAAGCAACTGCCCCATCCATCCATCTCTATACCTTAATCTTGTGATGTGTGCATAAAGGTGCAATTTATCTTGAATATTATACCTTTTAAGTAAAACTTTTTTTTATTGATACGTGGTAAGTACAATGCAGTATTCGTTCATAGATAAATTTCTATCATTTGACAATAAAGGCTTACATTTTTGACGTTTTCGGTATTCGAACTCTGGATCTTACATTTATGGTTGCTTTATAGTTGAAGTTAGAACATTTGTGTATGATAAAAGCTTTTAATTATAAAGTTTATGTTTCAAAGTTAAATTTTGGTTATTAAATTATTTTTTAGGTGATTTATGTTTGAGGTACTGATGACTTATTTGAAAAATAATTGAAACAATCTTAGTTGGTGATTGTTTGTTTATAGAGATGGACTCATGATTTTGTGATAGGCTTAAACAATGGCGGATCCAGAAATTTAAAAATAAAGTCCAAAATTTTAATATTTTTTCTTATAAATAATGGATATGTAATATTTTTTTCTTAACATATTAAATTAAATTTCACTATTTTTCTAAAATAATGAGGATGCACTTAGTCTTTATGGGACTTAGTGCATCTGCCCCTGGGCTTAAATATAAAATAAGTGTCTAAATTATATCACTTTTCACAAATAGATGTATAAACTATTTTTTGAACGATCTTGATGACTAGCGTTATAAACGTTTCAACTTTAGGTGACTGATTCGTAATGGCCTTAAAAAATTATGTTAATAGACACATATCACCTCTGATAATTTTAAAACAATTTTAAAAAAACACAATTTAAAAATTTTTATATTTATTAAAAGAAACCTAAAATCTCCAAATCCCTAACCTTAACCCCATCTCCGTTTTCGACAACGGCCACCTTCATCGACACCTTCTTATCCATCTTTGTAGTCGAACAACGTCGTCCTTGCTATGGAGCCGCGATTTTAGGGGTCTTTTTGACTGCTATTATGGTGGTTTTTCGTCTGGTAACTAGTCTTCGATAATGTGGGCCAGGTGGAGATCAATTGACGACAACCGTAACGGTGGCGGGCATTAGTATTTAGACTAGAATATCAATAAAAATATAAAAAAATGCAAAATATATAATAGATTAAAATCACCCTTGCTTTTGATAAAAATGCATAAAAGGCAACGATTTATAAAACAATTAAACATCTTTAGAAATACTAATAATCTTGTAAATGTCAGGGGTTCGAATTATGACGAATGCGAATAGAGTAAATTGAGTTGGGAGGGTCGATACGGGTGATTATACTAAAATAATCTTGTAAATGTATAACTTTATTTATTATGTAATCAAATCATTTACAATTTTTACCAAAATCATTGTTGAAATCCAACAAATCACAATCCATCACCGTCCACTGTTTTGATGACGAAACAACAAGAAATAAAGGATCGATAATTCAAGTCAAGACAGCCTTCAATTGGCCCATTGCTCAACTGCATTAGTCATGGTTTTAAAATAAAGAGATCTAATGGAATATTACTCCCTAATTCCCCAATTATTTAATGCACGAAGTTGTCAACTCGCTCAACTCATTAAAATTTTTTGGACCAATAGACATATTCACCCGTATATTCCTAATTACACATGAGATTCCTTTGTCTCTTGCAGGCACCATCAGATTCTCCTTCCTTTAAATCAAAATAAACACCCATTGTTCATCATCACGAACCCTCAATAATGCATTCATCAAC